AGGCTGCCCCAGCCCAGCTCTCTCAGCCTGGCTCCAGAGCAGAGCTGCTCCAGCCCTCGCAGCAGCTCCATGGCCTCCTCTGCACTCTCTCCAGCAGGATCTCAAGGGGGAATAGGACAAAGTCCCAGGGGCAGTGTCAGTCAGGGAAGCAGCACCTGCTTCTCTTAAGGGACTTAGGAGCAAAGGCTGGGGGAGATGAACACAGAGAACACGACCTTGTGTGATAGCTGCTGTCTGCAATGTCTGACAGGTACCGCTGCGCTGGAAGAAGATGCTCAGATCCTGAAGGTGATCGAGGCATACTGTACCGGGGCAGGTTTCCAGCAAGCCCTCAGCTCAGGTGGGCACACAACCGCATTATTTAGCTCTCACTCTGCCCACAGCACTGACAACCCCTCTGGGAAAAAACAGAGGGTTGCATCATACAGCACTGAGACTCATGCTTGGAAACTGTGTGGTATTCAAGATAAGGGAGCTTTATCTGCCTAGTGGTTTAGTTGCCATTGTTTTTCTTCTAAACACAGAGAATGAAGGAGGTAGGAGGGCAGATGAGACACAGCTATTTCACCAGCACTAAGGAATTAAGCAAACCTAATCAGGGCCTGTGGCTGTCGGTACTGACAACCTGATGGTAATCTCAGGTTGCATAGAGCTTTGGAAAGGAAGCATGAGTATTATCTCTCAATCAGCTGCATGTTGATGTTGCTTCATAAGAACCTAACAGCTTCAGCTCTGGAAGTAAAACTGTTTTACCATTGCTGGTGAGATGGCAAATGAAATCACTGTAATGTGGAAAAGAGGGGCCATGGTTCTGAGAGCTCTTGACCCTTCTTGAATGATCTCATTTATAAGTCATGATGCAGCTTTAGATGCAGTGAGCACTCCCCCACTGCTGTTTTAGCTCCAGGTTGGTGGTACCCATCAGCCTGTATTTAACCATGGCAGGTAGCTGGAGGCTGCTGCAGCTCCAGCATGCAGAGGGGCAGGGAGAAGGAGGGTGTCAGGGACACATCCCCCTTTTCCATCCCGATGATTAACTCTCATACACAGGCTCCCGTAAAGACTCCATCCCCCAAGTCCTTCTTCCTGAGGAAGAGAAAATCATCATAGAGGAAACACGAAGCAACGGCCAGACTGTCACGGAGGAAAAGTAAGTGCTGCTGTTCCCTGCTTCCCCATCCCTTGTTGCTTTTTGGGAAGACTTGGAACACCCAGGCCCTCTCCTTTGGCCTCTGCTGTTATCACCGATGGCTGCTGTAGCTGCTGGGTTGTCCCTGTTTAGGAGCAGAGCCGCCTTCCAACTGCTCTGATGTGGCTGCAGCCCTTTGGGAGTCTGGGTTTCGAGAGCCAGTTGGTTGAATCCCAGAGCTGATCCGGATGCAGGACTCTTTTACCTCCTGCCATGGTGGGGTGCTGCTGCCCCTCGGTTGCTGCCTGGCACCCCATCTTCGAGTGCTCTCCTATGTAGCTTCAGCAGCTGGGTGACTGCGCTGATCCCCTCCTTTCCTCACCCGGACAATGCATTCCTTTCATGCTTGGTTCTTTGCAGCGTAACCTCAAGGGCTCAAGGCTGTTTTACAAAGGATACTCAGGCATTTCCAGTTCTAAAATCATGGTTGTCTATTGCAGTAGCATGAACAAGGAAGCCAAAGCCACAGACCTTTGCTGATAGCTTCCAGAGAGCAGAACAAGGTGTTCTTCTTGAGGTTTGAGAAGAGAGCCTTGAATCTTGGACCAGTGGCCTATAAATGAGCTGTGTTTTCAGAGTGCCCTCATAGGCAGCAGCAGTAGCAGCAGCTTGATGCTTGCAAAGCAGAAGCACCATCCCCATCAGCACCTCGCTCACAAAACCTCCCATGCATGCTGCTGGTTCGCTGCGCTCCAGCTCTTTCCTTGCATTTCTCTTTGCAGGAGCCTTGTTGACACGGTTTATGCACTGAAAGATGAAGTCAAAGAACTGAAGCAGGTAATTGAAGGGTATTGTTCATGCTGGGAGCTGAGCAAAAGCCAGCCAGGTTATACTGGGTTGTTGCCTTGGACTGGTTGGTGCCCAGGAAGAGTCTTGCCCACTGCTGGTCTGATGCTGCAGCTCCCTCAATCGGGTCAGCATGCAATTGCTTGAGGCAGTAGGAGGGCAGGAGGAGTTGGTCCTTGTGGTAACATGAAACTTTCCCCCTACTCTAAAAGCTCCTTCAACTTGACCGGAGTAATGGGTTCAAACTAAAACAGGGGAGGTTCAGGTTGGAGATAAGGCAGAAGCTCTTCCCTGTGAGGGTGCTGAGGCACTGGCACAGGGTGCTCAGAGAAGCTGTGGTTGCCCCATCCCTGGCAGTGCTCAAGGCCAGGTTGGACACAGGGGCTTGGAGCAAGCTGCTCCAGTGGAAGGGGTCCCTGCCCGTGGCAGGGGTTGGGACTGGATGAGCTTTGAGGTCCCTTCCAGCACAAACCAGTCTGAGGTTCTATGACTGTTTTCTAGGGGTCTGGTGGGTACCAGCTCTTGCAGACTGAGAGGAAATACATCCTCCTCCCTCCAGCCCCAAGCCTGGAGGTGGGAGAGAGCACCCCAGAGGAGCAGAGTCCTCCCACCTAGGCTAAAATTAGGTTTCCAGGAGGATGCTTCTGCCTGCTCAAAGTCATTCTGTGCAGGTCCATAGGGTAGTAAGGGACTGCTTGAGTGGATCAGACCACAAGGAACCCGTGTTGTTCACCCTCAACACGTGACACATCCCTGATGCTTCATCACCTTGGAGGCACCAGGCAGTGCACGTCGGCATCGACTGCATCTTCTTTCCTTTATTTCTCACCTCGCAGGAGAACAAGAGGATGAAACAGTGTTTGGAGGAAGAGCTGAAATCCAGGAAGGACTTGGAGAAGCTGGTGAGGAGGCTGCTGAAGCAGACGGATGAGTGTGGAAGGGAGGACACGGGGCGCAAGTCGTCCCTGATCGCCTGAGCAAGGGGAGAAGCTGCTGGCAGTGGTGTGTGACCTCAGGTGTTCTTTGGGAAGCGGAACTGGATCCTTTGCCTCTTCTTGCTCCTGATTTTGTTGGTTTGGGGAATTTTGTTACCAAAAAAAGAGAGTCCTAGAGAAAAAAATAATTCCATAGTTTTCCTTCCATGCAGTAAGGAAATAAACCAGAAACAATCAATCACAGCTAAACCAGTAAGCAAGCGGTCCATGATTCACAATTCATCTGCAGCAACTAATACCTCATCGTACCTGCTACTGGGAGCAAATACAAACTCTGCTAAATGATTGCTGCTCACAAAGGGTTTGGCAGCAGTTTCCTAAGAGGAAGCTTGAGCACTTTTTAATGCTTTCATTCTTATCAAAAGCACCGGTACCTATTTATTGAATGAAAACATTATTGAGGTGGCATTGAGCAGAAACCAAAAAGCACCGTGCTCCTCTGTTCAGATAATCACAACTGGGGAGGCTCTTCCCATCCACCTTCTTGTTCCCCATTAGTTGACTGTAGCGAACTTAGAGCCCAGCAATACTGTGGTTCCCGTGTGGCCTTGATCCTGATTCAAATGTGCAATTATCATGAAGACATTGGAATCCCTTGGGGAAGTGAGAGCTGGAGCACCTGTCAGAGCGCATGGGAAAGGTGTGTTGCGCAGCTCGTGATTAGCACAACAGGTAACTGCTCTTCCGTCCCCCCATCCCTTCCCTGATGCATGACTCACAGCTCCTTCCCCCTGCTTTGTTTTCATATTGAGTGTCCAGGTATCGTATCAGTTTAGAGTCTTGCTGTGCTTCCCCTCGCAGGACAGGCTTTTCTCTGTATGAAATAGACACTGCTTGACAGCCAACACCACCCCCAGATGTGCTGGTCCCCTGCTCCCTTCACCTTAGGCTCGCCGACGCTCCTTCCCAAAGGCTGGGAATGTAGGCAATGGCCACTTATCCCCCCATGGCCCCAAAGGGGCTTTCTGCTAGGGAAAAGGAGCTTTCCCTTGGGATAGGAAAGTTCTTTATGCTTTGGCAAGAGCTGGAACGCTCCTGGGGCACTTATGTGCAACACCCGTCGGATTCCTGCACAGCTCCTTGAACACAGCACACAGGCAACATGCATATGTATCAGCTATCTCCATCCTATTTGGTGTTACACCCTCATTTAGAACAACTGTTTTCCTTCCTTCCTTCCTTAGCAGCATTATAAAAGTAACCTTCTGTTAAAGCTAATGATAAGTCTTATGTATATCACTGGGATCACTGGGCAGCATGGTTCCAGGGTGTGCAGACACACCACAGCTCATGAGTTCATGGCTTACGTTGGTCATGAAGGACATAACAGAGGCAATAATAACAGCTCCCTCCTTGCAGTTAGAGTTGAGCCAGAAATGGTGTCTGGGGAGAGCTATGCTCCAAAACAAGGAGCAGGAAAAGAACAAACCCCTCTTAAAACCGTTTTTAGGCCAGAACAGAGGTTCTTTTTTTGCTCCAGAGCATCCCTTCTGGATGGCAGCTCTCCACATCCCTACCCAGGCACACCATGGAGTGGTCTGCTTGGCAGTCAGGCCCTGCTGTGCTGGTTAATCATATCGCAGGGTGCTGCACATGGGATGCCGCTGTTCCAGGATGCCATATCCAGAACCCCAGGCACTGTCCTGTCCTCCTGCCTGCCCAAAGGTGGGATGGGGACCAGGCTTAGGTGTGCAGCTCATGCAATGAAGCAAACCATTCACACTCCAAGGAGAGGGTAAAACCGTTTCCTCGCTCCCCCCGGTTGAGCTGAAACCCGTGCTGTGTACATATGCATGTGTGTGAGGCGTAACGTGGTGGAGGGCACACTGGGACTGTTTGGATCAAGCGTTTTGTCAAGAGCTAGAAGCCAAAAAAAACAAGACAAGAAACTTAACTAAAAAGGAAAAGAAGCCATGCCAGATGGACAGCAATGTTTCCATATTTACTTTGTTTACAGTGCTTTGTAAATAGGTTCCAGTGAGTCTGTCTTTAGATGGATGTTGTGTCCGCTGCCTTCCAGTTTATCTCTGTCATGTAGGTGTATTTACTGTAACTACTTATGCAAGTTCAACTTTTCTAACATGTTTTTATTTTGAACAGTTTTTTAATTGACATTTTCAACAAATAAAGAAGGACCAAAAAATCACTTCTTGGCTCTCGGGGCTGCTTCCTTCGTTTCCACCACAATGCTCTGGGCATCCCTGATACGCTCAAAGCACCCATGGCTGCGTCACCTACTGGGGAGGATACTGGTGCAAATGATGCTGCTCACCTGGATCTGTTACTCCCACCATCACCCTGCAGCAGAGGAAGGAGATGCGTTTCCATCCCTCAAGCCCTGCTTGCTCTCTGCTACCAAGGATGCTGTATGGAAAAGCAGCCACTCCCCGCGGCACCGGCAGGATGCTGTAGATAAGTGACTTCCTGCCTGTTTGCGATTTGATTTTATTCTCTTTGGTTGGTGTGTGTGTTTTTCCTGGCATTTAGGTGTGGTGACAGGATTTCCTTTGGTCTACCGCTTGGACAAGACCTCCTCTCCTTTTAACTCTTTGGTAGAGATGCGCCGTGCTCTCAGCCGAAGCAGGAGGCTCAAGGGCTGGATCTTGCTTTCCCTTCCCAAACACAGCACTTGGAGCAGGAAAAAGAACAAGTGCAAACAAAACACTTGGGCACATGGTGCAGAAACCACTGGAGTCTGCAATGGAGACCCAAGTGGTACTTTGGGGACTTCAAGGAAGAGGCAGAGCAAGGCACCTCCAGCCCCTATGCCCCAGAGGTGATGCTGGGCATGAGAATAAGGAGAAGGCATCCCCCAGGCTCATCTTGGAGGGAGCATCTCCACTCCCATGTGTCCACGAAGCCAGATCCAGGCTTTAACCAGAGAGCATCCTGTTCTCCTAATGTATACAGGGTCCCTTTGGTCCCCTCTCTTATGCCAGCTCCCAAATGGCCCCTTTACATGACCCAACTCCAACACAAGCAGCAACAGCATCCTCAAAGCAATGGAGCTGGGCTCCAAATTACCATCAACATGAAAAAAGAGGAAAATACCCCCCAACAGCTTAATCTGCACAGCCCAAAGCACTGCTGGAGCTGGGGATGCCCTGGAGGTGCCCATTCATGGTGGGCTGCTCCCATTGACCACTCCAGTACTGCTCCATAGCATGAGTGCCCTCAACCCAAACTGAACTGGGCGGAAGTAGTCTCCCTTGCCTCCAAGCAGGGGTGCACACAATGGATTTGGCCTCCTAAAAGACCCTGCCAATGGGGACCCTGCCCCAACCAGGGGAAAGGGCTGTCACCAAGCAAGGAGTGCCAAGGTAAGGCTGGTACCAAGGCACCCAGTAAGAGACCCTGCTTGGAAACTGGCAACCAGCAGTGCAATGGCCTGCGCGGACCATCCCACCACCATGTTAGGACCAGACCTGCAGCCTCCAGCCAAGCAAATCCTAAGCATTGGCCACATCTGAAAGCTCTTCCACTTCCACACCGGTTGGATTCCAGCAGTATTCCCAAACCTTTGCACTCTGACAAGTGCGACCTGCACAACCAAATGCTCCAGGCTTGCCACCCTTGCCACCTTCAGATGCCTTTGAAGAATACCACATCAACATCCTTGTGCCCTGCTGTTGCTCAGCTCCCCTTCCCTTCAGGCCAGGCTGGAGGAGAGGGTCAGGGAGACCCTAGTGTGCAGTGTACCCCTGCCCAAGAGGGACTCCTGCCTGTGTGCACAGTCCTGCTCTCCTAGAGCTCCAGGTAAAGTGCTGCTGTGGGCACGTCCTCGCTGAGGACAGATAGAAGATGCTCTTGGAAGTGCACAAGCACCTTGGAGGGCTTGAGAAGACACAGAGGGTCCTGCCACCCCCCTGCTTTCTTGGTCCTCCTCTTAGAATAGGTGGAGTCGCAGGAGAGGAGGCAGGTCCAAATCTGATGATGGCGGCCAAGATCCCTTCTACCTGCAGGGGTGGGAGGAGGACAAGCTGGTGAGTGGATTCAGGTCATGAGAGCAGAGCACGGCTGGTCCCTTACTCATGCTCTAGCTTGAAATCAGCCACCAGTTGTCCCTCATGTACCCGGCCAAGGCTGTGTCACCCTGCATGAGAAGGCTGGTTGAGTTTCATAGGCAGGCACAAGTGGAAAAAGGGCTTTCTCAAGACAAAGCAGGCAGTTAGGGTGGCAAGGATGCATCACCACCAGCCAGCACGTAAGGCCAGCTCTCGGCTGACTGATTCCCTTAGAGGAGACCTTCCTAAGCCTTTTCATCTTTTTCCGCTGCTGTTTCGCAAGCAGATTGGTACAGGAGATAGGTAGGAAGGATGGAGGGGCCTGGGCCATCCTACGTTGTTAGGAAAGATACGTTGATGATGGAGTTTGGTTTGTGACACAACGGGGACAATCCACCCTTGCATGGTGGACCCAGACGGCAATGAAAGACTAGGGCAAGGTGCAAACAACAACAGCTTCAGACTTTGTTCCATTTGTGTTCTCAGGGCCCCTTGGTCCTCATTAATAAATAACAAAATATACAAATTAAGAAACAAGGAAACCAAAGAGGCAGAGGGACATAAATAGGGGAAACAGGGAAAGCTCAGGGAGGTCCCCTCCTCACTACAGCTTGAAGATGCCGAAGTAGGTGATGCCCTGGCGGTAGTTCACTCGTGTTGAGTCTGTCACGTTGACAAAGACCATGTCACCTTCCCGGAGCTTGAAGACACCTCCCTCCCGGATGGACTGGGGCTCGCAGGTCGACGTGGAGGTTACGTGTGTGTCCAGTCCCCTCAGCAAGAGCCGGTCCTCTTCCATGGGGAGATGCAAATAAATATAGAGGGTGAATGGTGCCAAAGTTGCTTTCTTGGAGCAGAAGCTGACTTGGGAATAGATGTAGTAGAGTCCTGCTTCCTTCACCTTCAGTTTCCCCTCCTGGTAGGTTATCAAGTCATTGCTCGTAGGGCCATACATCGTCGTCTCCCACTCTAGCACTGTAGGGGGAAAGCATGGCAGATGAGTTGGGAGAAAGACATCCATTTAACATGGGGGGGGAGACCCCACAGATGTTTGGCATCACAGCCTGTCTGCTGTAGTGTGCAGGGGTGGCTCCTGCCTACCCCAGGGCATCATCCCCAGCCCAGGGGTGCAGCATCCCCTTCTCTGAGACCAGAACAAGTTTAACTCATGTTTCTGGTCACTGGCATTGACACCCTTGGATCGATGATGCGAGCAGAGGAGCATTTTGCTTCCTCCATCCAACCAAGTGGAAACGCTGAGGGTGGAGGATTGCACACAGTTGCCACTGCCACCCAAACACCCTCGTGTCTGCCCTATGGGGTTGCTATCTCCATGGCTTTCAGTGGCACTGCCAAAACACCCTGCAGCTCCCATCTTCAGAGGCTCCCATCCCGGGACACACAGCTTCTCCCATGTGAGTGCTGACACTTGGCAAAGGAAGAGCAAATCAAACATCCCACAGTTCTGGTCCCCGGCAGGGTGCAGAGCTGGAAGGGGTTTGCATGGCAGATGCTGCCTCCACTGCCCATGGCAACCGCCCATGGCTTTTGGGACACTATCGGTGTCACCAGAGTAGCTCAAGAGCATGCCCTCCCACTGGAGTCAGTACAGGTAGGTCAATGCAGAGACCAGGAAGCCATGGCCACAGAGGCTGAGCTCAGCTATGACCTCCAGGAGGAACTTTGGACCTTCCCCAACCTACAGAGACACCAATGAGAGCAGCAAGGGAGAGCAACCTGGCTCCAAGGGGAGTAACGGGTTCCACAGTCCCAGGGTGGCATGAGAGGTCCTGGGGATGCACACAGCCCATGGACCACGCCTGCACATCCCATGGGGAAGTTTCCAATGTGCCCAATGCCAAGCTCCAGGCAGCAATTTCAACCTGCTTTATGGGCTCAACAAGTGCTCAAGCTGGGAGGTTTAAAATGCAGCGAGTTCCTCTCTTCTTTGATCTTATCTAACACGAAGCTTTGCAGAGGCAGGCTGAGCTCTGGGTGAAATGCTGCGTCAGGGGTGCAAAGAGCACTTGCTGATTACTGGCAGTTACTCCAGGATTAAAGCAGAGGTGCCCAGATTGTGAAATCCATGGCACAGAATGACCTGCATGCTCTTACTTGGATAATCCTTGCTCTCGGATGATGTCCCTCAGCTAAGGTTGTGCTGGGGAAGGGAGGAGTGAGAGCAGCCACGGTCTGTGCCAAGGATGCACAAATGCGAATGGACTCACATGCATCTCTCAAACCTAACGTGGCCATGGCTGTGGATAAGTGCATATTGCCTGAATCAGTCTGGAGCTATCTATGTTGTGACTATGAAGTCACATAGTGCTACCAGGACCACTGCAGCTGAGAAGATGCTTAGAGCCCTCCTGCAGCAGCCACCAGGCAAGGTATGGCCAGGAGAACAGAAGCGTTTTTGCTGTGTTCTGAGTCCAAAAGATTTTCCTTAAATACAAAGAGAAATGGTTTTCCACTCATAGAAAACACTGCAAAGGTTAGGCCATTGCAGTGCATTTCTAGGAAGGATCTATAGGATATATATATATTTCTAGGAAGGCATATATAAGGCTACTGAGGACAGCTGGCATGGGATGCATGAACCCCATGTGGCAGAGGTGCAGGTGGTGATGTGACCATTGGGAATTTGGCTCCAGCTCTCATGCTGGAGTTGTACAGTCCCCGTCCCTGCCCTTAGAGAGCCATGGGGCAGTAATCACAGGCCAGGGAATGGACACTGCCATGTCCCACTGGCTCCCTAGGCAAGGCAGTACCAAGTGGATCTGTCTTACCTGAGACTCTCTTGCTGATATTCCGACCTGCCAGGTGGACTGCAACCGGCTGCCTCTTCTCCACTGCAATTCAGGAAGGTTGGGGTTACTGATGCCTTGGCACCCACTGTCTCCCCAGGGCAGCCCAGGGACTGCTGCACCTTTATTTGTCTATGGGCCAAATCCATCTGAGAGACACAGTCTCCAAAGTACCCCCCATCAGCTTGGATCAAGGCAGGATCTGGCCTCTGCTCAGCCAAGACACTCAGTTGCCTTCAAGGTGGAGCCTTTAGGGGATAAAGCCCACGGAGGAGACTGGGCCCTCGTGGAAGAGGATGCGTTCGCTCCTTACCTGCCACAGGGGTCTCGTTCTTGTGCATCGAATGGGGATGCTCGTGCTCATGGCCTGCAATGCAACAAGGCCACAGATTTAACTGTGGGTTCAATTTCATTGATGTAAGCACCTTAGCACCCATAGCCGCCTGCCCTGGTGACACAGCCATGGCCAGTCCCCCCCCTCTGCCAGCCCCACATGGGGATGCCCCAAACCCCAACCCCATCCCCTGCCTCTGTGCCATGCCCTCATGCTGGGCAGGGTGAAGGAAAGCCCTTCCCAGGCCAAGCTACTCCTCCTGCCCTTTCCAAGCCATGGGTGCACTGACAGCACCAGAGAACTCACCTTTCTGCATTTCAAATTTGGGCTCCTCCTTGCTGGCTCCCCTGTCCTGTAACAGCAGCAAAAATACATGGGTGGGTTTAAGGGATGTACATATCCATCATTTTGAAAGCTTTTGCATAAAGGATGCTCTCGTCACTTCTTGGGGTGGTGCTCTTTGGCCCCAATAGCCCTGCCAGCTCTGGGCAGAGGGTACCACTGAGTCCCCTCCAGTACCATCCCCGGCATCACATATGGCCATGGACGGGCTGTTGGCAGGAGGGGGATTGTAGGGTTTATGATCTTTGCACAAAAACCGGTTTTTGTGCAGTTCAAATGATGGGATGGGAAAGGTTTATTTGAGAAACAAACGAAAAACCATCTCCTTTTCATTTAAAACCATGTTGGAGAGCCATGCTATAGAGCAAGCTGGGCACATCCCTGCCCCTGCATAAGGGGGTTTTCAGGACTGCTGAGCAGGGCCCATCTTAGTTTTCTGTTGTCAGATGGGTACCGATGCAGACCTGAGGCATTTGGTGTCATTGGGCATTGACACCCGCATACGAGGAGCCTCTGCACTGTCTGGAGGTACCATCCCTGAGCCCATGGAGTGGCATTTGTACATCCCTCTCCTCCTCACTGTCTGATGGGAGCTGTGCTGCCTGGCCCAAGCCTTGTACCCTCATGGACACCTGGGTGGCCACAAGCATCCCCACAGGATTGGAGCAAGGTGCCAGGCATCAGGAAAAGACCCAGGATGAGAGTGCAGAACCAGGGTGGCTGCAGCTCCATCCCTCCAACCACAAGGACTGAGCATTACTCTGCAGGGATCCCACCTGCAGCTGGATGAGCTCTGACCAAGGCCATTTTGAGGCAAAAATGGATGAGAATTTTCAATTCTATCAATAGAGTATAAAAATAGAATGTAAAACTAATCCAGTGTAAAACTAACCCAGTGTAAAGAGGGGCATGTGCTGTGCAGCCCCAGGGTAAAGGGCACCCATGGGATGAAGCTGGCTGTGTGCCTGGTACCCTCCTTCATCTTCAGTGCGGTCTTTATAGACCTAACAGCAGCATACCTTGCACTGGAGGTCCTGGAAGGCCTTTAGAATCTTTTCACAGTCCAATAACGTCGATCTCTGGCCTTCTGCTGTCTGACACTTCTGTACTTTCCTCAGGAAGATGTAATCCTCATTCAGGTTCAACACCTCTTCCATCTGCCGATGTGGGAGAAAAGAGAGGGTGAATGGGGTGTAAGTGGGAAACCTGCAATGGCTGGCAGCGGAGCCACGCTGTATTCCTGCCAGGGATAAATCACAGCCTGGATAGCTCAGGGTCAGTTGTTCAGCATTGGGATGAGCTGGGCAGACACGCTGTGGGTACCAAGTACCCCCACCAGCCGCCCGGTACAGCATCCGCACCCACATCCACTGGGAATTGCTGACCCTGGTTGGTACCACTGGCTTAGAGGAGGATTACTCAAGATCCCTTTGTGTTTTCTATCACCTTGGTCATGAATTTCAGTTTCCCACTGTGCTTTTTCCAAAAGGCAAGTGGCAAAAATCCACACGCCTGCATTGACAGGCACAGAAATCGCAGCGACTGGCTCGGTCCATCCCAGCTCAGATCCAGCTTGGATTCTCCCTCAACTCCACACTACCCTGCCCATCCAGGATGTCTTTCCATTGTTTCAGATTGTTTATTGACTAAAAGAGCAGCCAGGGGACCAAAGGAACTTGTGGGTTGAGGCTGAATTCTGCCAAGAGCTTCGGAATAAAAAGAGCCATAGATAGATGATAGATGGATGATAGATAGATGATAGATAGATGATAGATAGATAGATAGATAGATAGATAGATAGATAGATAGATAGATAGATAGATAGATCTGCATCTCAGATGCCTCTGGGGACCCTCTACTCATCCCTTCACCCCAGGCTGCAAACTCCATGCAGTAAAGCCCCCTTCCACCACCCTATCTTTTCAGCCTCTCTAGTTCAGGGTTGCTTCCTGCCCTTGAAGATCAGAAGTCACCCACTTAAATGCCAATTTAAGTTGAGACAGCGTGTCTAAAAAACACTAATGATGATCTGATCATTGTATCTGGTACAGAGAACTCGTTCTTGGATTTAGACACAGTCTGTTTCTTTAGCTGGTTTCTGGTTTGGAGGAAAATAGCTTCCAATGATTGGTGATTTTAAGCATCGTGCAGTCATGGCAATATCAAACCCAGCTTTTTAGCTTTTAGTTCTTTGGTAAACATTGTCCCAAGTACAAGACACAGTCACCAATACCGTGTCCCTTCACTAAAAGGTCAAGCACTAAGGTCCACTTTTTTCTCTAACCAGAAAAACAGCATCTAAAGTGAGATGTTGCTCAAATTCATACATACAAACACTAAAAAAAGCTGCATTTCTGGACCCCTCCATCCTCTTGATGACTGTCACCAGAAAATCCACCATTGAACCTAAAATAGCCACTTGGGTGTTTAAGGCACACTCTTCTTTCCTTGGACTGGCCATGGTTTGCTATTAACGGATCTTCTTCATCGAACCGTTCTTGTTCCGTTAACAAAGGGAACAGGTTTCTTCCTTACATACATCTTAGTGGCAAATTAAAACAGAAATGAGAACATGAGGGCAATAAATGCCACTCCTGCATCCGTCCGGTGTCCGGCATCATCTTCTACCATGCTCATCCTTTGGGTGAGCACACCTCACCGCAGCGGAGGGCAAATCGCATTAGCAACCCAACACAGCCCACCTTATTTCTCCACTTACCTTATCCATCTTCATGTGAAGATACAAACAGAAGAGCACAGTCCCGATTGTCTGTGCTACAATAAATGCAGCGAGGAAGCCCATGAGCATCTTCATGGTGCTGGGCACGGAGCTGCTCATGGGTCGAGGCGTTGCAGGGCTGTAGGGTTCGTTCATCCTCCACGCGCGGTGCTGGGGCTCCTTCAAATGCACTGCTTGCAAGTAGCATGAGAACTGTTGCGTGAGCACCCGCTGCTCAAGGGATACAGGGTGCAGCAACCTACACTTCCTGGAAAAACCTCTTCGTAGTGGGTAGGTTTGTTCACTGCCATCTCCCACAACAAAAGAAGGTTGCTTAGACTTTCTTCTCTGGTGCACTTCCATGCTTTTTTCCTACCTTTCAACCAGAAGCACAGAGATATATTATTCCATATATTCATATTTGCCCTCGAAACAGTCCTGACTATGCCCCAGTGGTTGTTTTTTTTCCTGCTGTGGATGAAAGTTTCATGACAAATTGCCTTCAGAGAAATGGAGACCATGAATACAAGCACAGAGCGGCTGAACAGGGGCTGGGGAGCACCAGAAAATCAGTGGTTTCTCAAAAAAAGGGGAAGAAAGCTTTTTTACCCTCTGTTTCCTTCACAGGAAGGGTGATTTTGCAGTGAATACACTTGGCAGGTTGAGCTGCTTTCTGGCCTTCCCTTGTGCTCCCAATGGGTGAAGTCTCTCCTTGGGCAGGCTGGATGATGCTGGAGAAAGGACTACCTCCATGGGCACTGCATCTCTAGCGTGGGCACAGCTTTCATGCTCCTCAGCAGACAGTGGGACTTTGGGTCTTGGGGCTTGGCATCACTTTGGAGAGATGAGTTTTAAACAGCTTTAGTGACACTATAGTGAGGTGCTTACCCTGCACCCAAGGGCACAAGCCATCACAAACTGTCCTCACCCATGTTACCTCTATCTACATATCTGGGCATGAAAAGGGCTGTTGGGGATGATGGTTGCTGACCCCCCAGCATCACCTCCATGCAACTTTGGGCAACCCATATCCCCTCTATGTCCTCACACCTCCCCAGCCAGCAGCAGGGAGGCAAGATCTTGTCCCCAAGCTCTTCAGGCATCTGATGCTTGTGCAGCCATGCACCACCAATAACACAGTGTAAATGCAGAGGGGTCTCACTGCTTTCAGCCTCAGGAGAGGAGAGGAGAGGAGAGGAGGGTGCACAGCACCTCGTGAGGGCTGCTCAGAGGATGGAGCAGGATGGAATCCAGCGGTCGCTTTTGCTACCTACCCTCTCCCTCGCATCCTGTCCTGTGTGGTTAGGGCGTTCGAGCTGCAAATGCAAGAGCTGGTAACAGCACAAACATCTCTGCAGCCGAGTCAGAGCCTGACCTTGGCAGGTCACCCTGCTCCTAAATATAGCACCCGAATCACACGTGTGGGATGGCACCAGGGTCTTCGTGGGCTGAGACAGGCAGAGGCCCTGGGTGATGCTTTGGAGCCTCACCATGCCAGGACTGCCGCTCCTCTGCAAAGAGAGGAGCTGTGGGATGGGGCTGCCAGCTCCAGGGCAGCTCCCCAGTGTCGATTTTGCCTTCTAGAGGAGAAAGTGGCCCTGGGGTCCCAGCTCCTGTGTGCCCATGTCCCAAGGGATGCCCACATTCCCTCACCATCCAAGGGCTGCCTTGCTGTGCAGATCACCAGGGCTTCCCCAGCACCACAGGAGCATCGTCCTAACAGCAACGGCGTGACCCAAACAGTGCTGGGGATGCACAGTGTTGGGTTGCAAAAAGGGGCCCACTTGCCTTTGCTGGGCTTTAGACCTCGTCCCTTGGGTTGAAGCTCTGCTGTACATGGCATCAAGCTCACACACAGCCTGGGGGCACCGCTTTCAGTCCTTTATGTTAAAACGGGCATTATCATTGGACAGACATTGGCAAAACCTGCCCCAGCATCCTCACAGGGGTCTGGTCCGACATCAGGCTCTTGCACACCGTCCCTGCCATGGGGAGCGTGCCACATGTAAAAAGCCATTTCATGGCTCCCCAAAGACTCCCCCTGTGCATCAGCCCCACGGTGCTCACCAGCATTTTCCAGGGCTCTTCCTCTGAATTTAACATTCACGTTTGGAGAAGGTCTCTACAAAAGGACAAGGGAAGTCATCACATCACACATTACCTGAATCCAAACCCAATATCCAAGGACTGAGAGGCAGCGATAACGTGTGAAGCCACATCAATAACCACTGCAGAGAGCAGCAGGGGAGGATTTACACTGCTATTCCTGAGCCCTGGCTTCTTCTCAAAGTCGTTTTTGGATCTCCCCCTCTCACTGCTTCACTGCAATGAGAAGAACTCAGAGGTAACGCTGGAAACCCCAAGCGTGTTGCTGGCCCCATTGCATGCACCTTGCTAGGGAGGCCAGAGCTGGTGGCAGCCCTGCGGTAGGATGCTGGGCTTGGTGATGAGGATGGGGAGAGGCTCAGGGTTCGGGTACCAGGTACAAAGCATCACTGGAGGGTTGGCCAGCTTGTGCTGCACACCAGGAAACTGAGAGTTGCTCGTCACTGTCACCCTGACGGGAGAGAGCGGGTGGAAAGTGTGACAGCAGGGATCCTGGCAGGGGTTTGTCAGTGGGGAGGGCAGGCTGGCAGCTCTGTGCAGGAAACCATTGCTCCGCATTGGCAATCCATCCCTAGATAGCACAGAGCACTCCCTCTGGAGCTGCATCCGCCACCCCGCATCACCAGGCTGGCCGCATGGATGGTAAGGGTAGGGAGAAAGACTCAAGACCTGTGTTATCCCATGGTAAGGCCAGGTAGCATCATGGTTGCAAGTCCTTGACCACTTGGCTGCTGTAAGAACATGGGAGAATGGCTTGAACCTACCAGAGGGGAGACTGAGCTGAGCTCTTAGGCAGAAGCTCTTCCCTGTGAGGGTGCTGAGGCGCTGGCACAGGGTGCCCAGAGAAGCTGTGGCTGCCCCATCCCTGGCAGTGCTCAAGGCCAGGTTGGACACAGGGGCTTGGAGCAAGCTGCTCCAGTGGAAGGGGTCCCTGCCCGTGGCAGGGGTTGGAGCTGGGGGAGCTTTAAGGACCTTTCCAACTCAAACCAGTCTGGGATTCTATGCTATGGTGTTGGGGAACAGCGCACGGTTGAGCGCGATGATAGGAAGGAGTGCCCAGGAACAGAGGGAAGAGTCTGCCTGCATAGGATAACATCAGGGAAGGTGAAGTCACACCTTCACCATCGATGAGCTCAGCTACAGGGTTTTCTTTCAGTGCCCAAGCCCTCTGCCTGTAACCATGCCCATCCACGTGTGAGCCCAAACTGGCACCGTTCCTCCTGGCTGAGATGATGGGAAAATGTGATCCATCGCTTGCATTCCTATTGACCCAGTCGTGCTGTTTCCGCTCATCAGCAACACGTTTCCTCCACTTGTCCTCGGTGCTCAGAGCTTTGTATACTGAGAAAACATCCGCTCGCCTGCCCGGGAGCACTTCTGAAGGCAGCGAGGTGAAAGCTGCTGAGAAAGGAGTGATTTCATTTGGCTTGAGATGCCCACTGTGGTTTTGTGTCAAGCTCTTTCAGCTGTGCTGCTCACCCCGAATGCTCTCTACAAGTAACAGAAGCTGGGTGCTGGGCAGGACTGAGAGCAATGCGTTCAAAAGGGAGATGCTGTTTTGAGTCACCAAAGCAGTTTGGCTGCAATGCCGTGGGAGGGATGCAGAAGGGAACCTATGAGAGAAACCCCAATGAAGTTCCTTCAGCACAGGGCTGGCAGAAGGGAAAGTTGAGCTTCCCCACCGTTTGCTTTGTCACTCCTTCAGGTTTTTCCCTCTCCTGAGCTCTTGTGTCTCCAGGACAACACCATCAACAGAGAGGAAGAGGGAACAGACATAGGCAGAACACCGCAGAAAGCATCACCAGCATCCAGAGAAGGAACGGTTGCATGGCAGTTTCCATTACTTTCTCACCTTGGTAAGAATGAGAGAAAGCTCTTGGAGTGCAGAGCAGCGAGAGGCAGCCTCAGGGAGAGATGAAGGTGTCAGTGCTTGCGGTTTTCATGTCTCTCTGTGCAAGAAGAGATGCTGGTTGTAGCTGCTATGGTGGTAATGGCAGGCTGCAGCCCCATTGCTCACCATGGCCCTCAGCTGTGGAAACATCCATGAGGTCAGCAGAAGTTCCAGGCTCCAGCAGATATGAACACGAGCTGGACCTTGCTCCCGCTGCCCTGCAGGTTGATGGGAGCAGGGTGCAGAGCACCACATCCAGCTCACTTTCCTCAGAGCCATCTGCCCCTTCCAAGCCACCCTCCAGAGCAGCAAAGAGCAATGGGAAAGAGCTGCAGGGAATGGCATTGAGGTGATGCTGTCCGTCTGATCCACCCTGCTCCAATGACCATCATCCCCTGTACCCCCTTCCCTCCTTGCTTCCCTGTTCTCCCGTACCACCCTTGGATGTCCTTTCCCAAGGGATCAAAGTGGCTGGAGAGCCAGGAAAGGCAGAGAAACAAGCCCCAGAGACCCCACAGAGGATTAAGGACCCCAAAGGGGCATGTGGCTTCCATGCCATATCTGGGTGGTGATGCCAGCCTTGCTGTGCTGAGCCATGGAGAGCATCCACCCCCTAAACTGCTGATGCTGAGCCTCACCAAAGCTGTGAAACCACAGCTTGCACCAGAAACTTCTTGCTGTGTCGCCTGCACCTACTCCTGGCTTCCTAAAAATAGAGCCTGCTGCGGGGAGCCCCAGCCCTGTCCAACAAGCCCCTGCCGCCTGAGTCACAGCGGAAGGGACCGGGAGCATCCCATGCATCTCCCCTCACTCAGCCAAGCACCAAAAGCAGCTTCCAGGGGTGCAGGAGCCTGTGACCATCAAAGCTACAGCGAAACCCTGTGGGGCTGGGTCCTGGCAGACGCTGCTGCAAGCACTCCATGAGCTCCATGCTTCCAAACCCAGCCATGCCCATGGCAGAGCCACCCAACCTCAGCTCTCACTGCCCCATGGGCTATATGGGTGGGATGTGCCCCTAGGTCAGGGTTTGCATGGTGCCCTAAGGAGGGTTTCACTGCTCTTGGCCAACGCTAGAACCCCAGCCTGGTTTGGGTTAGAAAGCACCTTAAAGGGATGGATGGAGGCCAAGGGTTTTGGGTGGATGTGGGAGGTGGGTGAAACACAGCCTTTCCCTGTGTAGCCAGAGGTTTGAAGTGAGCCCTTGTGCTCTAGGCTAGCTCAATGGCACCAACAGATCCTGCAGCAAATTTGGATCCTGACTGGAAATGACCAAGAGATGGGCAATGTCCCCGGGTTGGTGACTTCATCTTCTGCCTTTCTCTCCTGTGTTAAACCACATCCCCCTGAACAGGCAACATCAATGCAAATCACTCATTCAAAACCTCACACACATCGATCTCCATGAGGTTCTCATCATAGGGCTTTCTTCACCACCAAGAGAATCGCCTCTGTGCCT